GCGCGATGTGGCTCATGGGGTCACGAAGAGTCGGACACGACTTAACGACTGAACAACAACTTTCTCGTCCCAGACTCTGTTGCTTTGACAGCAGTTCTTCCTCCTGTCCTTCAAGTCCATTCCCTCTTCCCTCTGTGTCGCCACCCTGTTTATTTTTTTAAAAAGGCACCTGGCATCCATTTGCCACCCTTTCTTGAACTCTTCTTCCAAAGAGGAAAAGAAGAACCATTCGACCCAGTAAAGGTTGTTAATTGAATAACAGTCCCCTGGAAGTTGGCTCAACGTTTCGGGATGCGCCATTCCCCATGGCCAAAATTAACTATCATCATCCCAGCTTGGGGAGCCAACTGGGTTACTTACAGGGCTTCCTTCCGCGGGAAGGCTTCTTGACAGACTCATCTGAGTTGGAGTCAGAATCGGACTTGGGAGTGAGCGCCCTGGTGCCCTCTCTGTCATTGTCCTCCTCCTCCTCCTCGGAATCTGCCTTGCTGTCAGAGTCGGAGGCTGATTCGATTTTCTGCCAATACACAAGCATTCTCAGTGCACCAGAGGCAGCCGGATCAGGGTCCCCATCCCTCCATCCTGCAAAATGATCTTCCCGACCAAAGCCCAACGTACACTTCCCAGAGCCAGAAAATATCCCTGTTGGACAGTGACCCTATTAGCTGGCTGCTGTACCTGACTCTCTCCTGGCCACGGAGTCCGATTGCAGGGAGCCAAATCCAAGGATCCCAGACATCCAGCCTCTACGTGAGCACTTCCAGCAAAGGGAACTCCTCCATCTCTCTGGGTCCCTATCTTCACCGTCCAAACACTTTTGCCGCTACAAAGCCTTTTCCCTAACGTTCAGCTGGGACCTGCCTTCCAGCAACTTAAATCCCTGATCCAGCACCCTGCTCTTTGGAACGAGAGAAAGCCTCTTTCTAAATGACGTCCTTTTGAGTATCTGATGCTTCTCTGTACACCCTCTTCTCTCCCCCGGGGGAGGCCAAGCTTCCCCCAAAGCAGGGTCTCTGGTCAGGGAGACCAAAAGCTGCCTCTGTCACTCCCTTATCCTCAACCATAAAGAGGAGCTGCTCCGAGCAGCGTGGGACTAAAGCTCCTGCAGCTAATGGTCATCCTCTGCCCCCCCACTTTCTTCACACTTTAACAGTGATTTTTTTATGAAAGACAGAGTTTCTTTTGTTTCTGATACTGGCTGTGCAGTCCCATATTCTGTGCCTGTCCTGGTTCTCCAAAGGATGAATGATACAGGTAGTCCTCGACTTATGACCACAACCGGGACCAGAACTTCCACTGCTAAGTGATGCAGTTGTTAAGCGAGTCATGCCCGATTTTATGACCTTTTTGCCACAGTCGTTAGGTGAATCTGGTTTCCTCCATTGACCTTGTTTGTTGGAAGCCCCCGGGAAGATTGGAAATGGAGATCACGTGACCCCAGGATGCTGCAACCATCATAAATACCTGCTGGTTGCCAAGCACTTAAAATCTGATCACATGACTGCGGGGATGCTGCGATGGTCTTAAGTGTGAGGACTGGCTGTAAGTCACTTTTTCAGCACCGTCGAAACTTCGAACAGCTGGTAAACAAATGGTTGTAAGTTGAGGACTACCTATAATTCATAACCTTTTTAAATGAATAGATTTGAAAGGGCTGTTACCTTTTTCTTCCACCCTCCAGCAGGTGCCCGCCGCGAAGTCCTAGGAGGTGGCTTCTTCTCTGGAGTGAAGTCCTACACAGAGAGACATGGGAATTTACACTGAAGCCTTCTCAGTTCCTAATCCCTCCCCCGCAAAATTAAGGAAGGGCAGGAGAGAGTTTGTTCCCTCTTTTAAAAACTTCATTAAAATAATGAACCTCAAGGCATGCGGATATTTGCCTGATGTTACCGTGGGTCCAATTTTCAGGGGACTAGATGACTTATGATTCCAGGTGTTAAAAGGTTATCATCCCTTTATAGAGATGTAAGAGGGGCACAGAGGATAAAGATACAGGCCAGATGTTGCTAGCAGCAACCCCATGCATATACAGAAAGTGTAGGGCCCATCCTGAACTGTACAACAGTCAGACCCAGGGCTCTGCCTACAGCCCCCCAAACCCCACTGGAAAGGGCCAAAGCTTAATGGAGTACTTTTGTGACAGAAGCTGCAGTCCTGGACCAGTGGGATGGGAACATCAGTGAATCCAATACAGAAAACCTCCAGGGAAAAGCATTTGGTCAGAGGCCAGAGAAACAACTAGGATTCTGGGCAGCAGCAGTGAACAACTACTAGCATGACAGAAAACTACTGTACCCACGTTTCTCATCCAACTCTGACCCTGCTCAATACGGATATCACAGCAGCGTAGCTCAGAGCCACAAAGGACCATTTATTTAAGAAGAGTCACAGTCTTTGTTGGAAAAAGTATGTGAAGCTTAAAATTTAGGAAAGGCTGGCCCTTCCTTTAGTGGCAGTGCTTTCAACCAAACATTTCCTGGACCAGTTAATCACACCTGCATATTAGCCTGGAGGTCCTTTAGGCCTGTTCTTCCTTTCAGAAATCTTGCAATTCATTGATGTCTCTGACTTGCAAGAACTGCCACAGCATCCCCCTTAAGGATAGGGTTTTGACTCAGCCCTTCCCAAACCCAATGTTTTTTCTGCTTCAACCATTCCATTGGAGATTTACCTCTATGTTTAGGTCTGCTGTTGTGCTGGGTGACTTACGCTTCTTCAGCGGAGCGGGCACCCTGACATTTTCCTACAGAATTTGCTAATTCTGCTGTGGCTCCCACCCCATGGAACATCTTGCCTCCCGAGGTCCGGTGTGCCCCCTCCCTCATGGCCTTCAGAAAAGG